GTCTACGGCCCGGCGCCATCTTCGACCTGCCCCACCTACGCCCCCGACACCTAGCCCTCCAAGTATGATTCCAGCACTGCGTCGAGGAGCGTCGCAACGAGCATCGGCAGCATGGCCAGAGCCCGCGCGCACGCTCCAGCACCGACGCCAGCGCCATCGACGCTGGCCGCCGGCAACGACGCCAACACCGACGCCAGCAGCGTCGACACCGGCGCCGACAATGGCAACGATTTTGGTACCGACACTACCAGCTACTACCCGCATGGACGCCGGCACTGGGTTTAACACCGACGCCAACATCGGGCATTGACGCCAGCACCGGCGCCAGCAGCATCGACTCCAGCACCAACGCCGGCACCGATCGGCGCCGAGGGCAGCAGCAGCAGCGACGACGGTGCCGTCCCCAGCATTGACGCCGACAACGTCGACGTCAGCACCGACCTTGGCATTGGCGCCAACAGCACCGATGCCGACATGGACCCCAGCACCGACGCCCGCAGCATCGACTCATCACCGAAGCAGGCGCCGACTCCAACACTTACGCCACCAGCAGCATGGCCTCGACGCCGACACCGATTCCAGCATCGACGCCAGCAGCGTGGACGCTGACGCTGGGGCCAGCGGCGACGACGGCAGCATCGACGCCGGCAGCATCGACAACGGCACCTACGATGGCACTGGCGCCAGCAGCATAGACGCCCGTTGGGCATCAGCGCGGGCTCTGCCGGCGCGGGGTTTTATCAAGGCATGGGCGCGCGAGTCGTGCATAGTTTGGTGTTTTGCACCGTGCGGCGGGTAGAAATGGGGGTGTTTTTCACCGTGCATGCCGCACCCTTGCGGCGCGTCGTTCTCTCCCATCGCCCCCCCTTCCCCTATGGCATGCAGTTGCGCGTTGTTTTGCGCTGTAAGAGTGGCCGTTTGGGCCGCGGGGGATTTCCGCGCGGTGCTCTGGCATGTGTATATATATATGTATACATACATGTACAGAGCATCAATTTAATATAATAGAACACCATTTAGTAAACTATATTATATTATATTATCTGTTTCTCCCCCGTCGCACCCGCAGACGCGTCAGCAGGGCTGGCCAGGCGTCTAGCTCGAGATTTCCTCGCCATTCATGATCTCGGAGCGGAGCTTGGAATTTGCGGCAGCTTCACTAATGGAGGGCGGGGCGTTTTCAAAGTGTTGCTCTCGCCTCACCGCCGCACACATTCGTTCTAAAAGTTTGCGGCAGCTTCACGGATGGAGGGCGGCTCCTTCTCCAAATATGGTGTTCGTTTTGGCGCCGCGCGCACTTGCTTGAAAGGTCGCAACAATGTCAAGGATTCGCATGACCAAATGGTGACACGGATTAGGGTTGTCAGGATGCAGCAGCTACATAGATTCGTTGCGGTGAGGCCCCAGGAGCTGCATTCTGGCACGACTTAGAATTGACAGCACGCAACACTCACGTTGATCCGCGGCGTTGTAGTTGCAGCAGGTGCGTTTTGGCACGATTGAGGGTTCTTGGAGGGCTCTTTTCTGATGGGCCACTCCCCGCAACAAGAGTCACTTTTCGAGAGACCCATGGAGAGGGAGCCTGGAGGGATGGTTTAGTGCACCATCATTGATGCACCTTGGGTTTACACCTGTCCTCCTCCTTCCCCCCCTCACCCAAACAGGATGCGCCGCTGCCGTTTGGCCCCAGCGCTTGCGCGTGCCGCTTGCTTTCGAGAAGTACAGAGCCGATCCCATTACATCACGTTTGGTTGTGCATCGCCACCAACCAGCCCTCAGAATTCTAGTTGGCAGCGGAGCTGGGGGCGATCCCAGTCCGCGATCCACGGAAGATGCGCAAAGTGCGAAGTGGACGCACGTTCACACTTCTCCCACTCTCCGCAGTGGTACCACTCCATTCCCTGAACAGCCTGTGCTCATGGCTATTCTGCAAACTTGTGGGCACTTCGCCCGGGGCACCCACAGGCAAGATGGAGCTACGCACCGATTCTTGAAAGTACGTAGTTCTTCCGGGTTCCCCAGGTCCAAATCTTGTTCAAGCGACTCCCTACTTCAAGAATCGAGTTGCTTTTGTTGTGGTTCGTATTTCTCCGAATGGGCTTGCCCTTTAGGAGTCCTAGCTCATCATAAGTAATTGGTCTTTAGCCCCCCACCCTTGTTTCCAATGGCACCCCCCTTAATTCCAATGGCACCCCCTCCCCCCCCATGTTGCCAATGACACCCCCCTTATTTCCAATGGCACCCCCCAGCTACTTCCACTGGCGAGTCCGTTGGATTCCTATGGATTCTTATGAGTCGTATGGTTTCCCATGCCAATTCCTATATGCCAATGCCTATGCCAATGCCTGTGCGTATGGAGTCCTGTGGATCCTGAGCTAGGATTCCGATGGGTTCCTATGGATTCGTCACAATCACCATCGTCAGCGATCATCGTCACCATGTTCCACCTCATCATCACCATGTTCCACCCCCCACCCCCCCTCCCCTGATTTGCCCAAGCTTAAGCTTACTCTTATGGCTCTCCGTACTTGCATGGCTGCTCGTTTCTTTTTGCTTGCCATTTCATGTTTGGTTTCCTCTCCTCCCGTCCTCTCCTCCTCGTCTTCTCCTTCTCTCGCTATTCCCCTTTCCATCTATCTATTCGGAGTCAACGCTGGCTAATATTATCTGGGAGGGCCTGAACCCAATCTACTTTATCCGCCGACGTACTTCATGTGTTGACTTAGTTTTTCCAACCGACGTGCAACGCCAGACCGTGCATGCCCCCGTGGGAGCCCGGCTGCAAAGGCAACAGCAGTTGATGGCAACGTGCAGGCGTTGGCCCACATGGGCGCCACGACGCCCAGATTTGCGCGGATTGGACCAACACTGGCCGCGCATCGCAGTCTCTTGCGATGGGCCGCATGATTTGGGCCAGCACTCGGATGCGGGTTGTGCGCGGCAATGTTGGCTCACATCCTAGTGAGCACGTTGCGCACCCCGAGTGACGCGCCACTTGTTAACGAACCCGCTTCACAACCCCCAGCGCCGACTCCGCCCCCAGCATCGAGCTGGCAGTCGTCCCTGTGCAGGTCCGAGTTCCAGGGCGCTTGCGCAGCTCACACTGTGGTGGAGTATTTCAGGGGAGGATCTCATCCTGGCGCCATGGGGCAGCATCACCATCCCTTCCGCGATTGCCCCGCTCTGGTTCACGCGCAGCATGCCAGGAGGAGCAGGACAGCAAGGCGGTGGAGGCCGAGGCGACACCACCACTCGCCGGCCACTTGGCTGGCCACCCGAAATCGAGTCCGCTCACCCGTTCCGCCACTGGGTGCAGGACTTGCTCGCGTGGGGCGCACTCGCCACGGACATGGACAGCGCCCAGCGGCGCGCAGCCATCGCCCCGAACTGCGGTGGCGTCGCGCGCGAACTCACGCGTCCCATGAGCATCACGGAGATGATTAAAGGAGGTTTGGTCAACGGCCAACCCGATGACGCCGTCACATGTTTCATCGCGAACCTCGCGGGCCAGTTCGGACCATTTGGCGAAGAGTCACGTCAACAAGCTACACGGGAGCTCTTCCAGTTCTCGAGGCGGCGCAACGAGACCACCGACGCGCTGTTCGCGGATTCATGCGTTGCGATTCCGAGCGACGCACTAGGTTTTCCTCCGAGCGATCGGCGCGACGGCAAGCGATCCCAAGCTCCACGGCAACAGATGCCCCGAAACCAGGGTTGAGTTCAACAGTTTCCCAGCTGATTTTGGAGCACGCGCCCACCACATCGCCAGTGCCCTTCGTGCGACATCATCTGAGGTTTCGCATGCATGACCCACGACAACAGCAACCACCACGGCGTGCACTCAGCAGACCCTCGGCACGAAGAGAGGACCGACCCTTGGGTTGCGAGTGCCGCCGACGTCGCACCTCTCTGTGCAAAGTCATGCAACGTTGAGCACACTAGCGGGCATCGCAAGTGCGCATTGCATCCATCCGATCAAAACGAAGATCACATGGGTTTTTTGGACGCGCGCGTGTCCCAACAATTTCGGATACAAACACCAATAAGTGAAGGCCATGCAGGGTCCATCGAGATTTGCTTGAGCTCATGACGTCGTGCCGCACGGAAGACTCGCGCTTTTCTTGAACGTCACAAGCGGCGCGTTTTGCATGAGATGACACAGAATACCGTGCGGGCCACGCGCGCGTGCCAAACCCCATCAACGCCAGGTGCAAGGCGCGCGCATGAGTTCATCAAATTGCACGGCCGTGCGCGTAGAGTGGGTAACGAAGTGGGATCTTCAACACATGTCATCCGTTCGGTGGTTTCAAGGCCTCTGGTATGAGACATTACGTTGTGAGACGAGGGTTACGAAGTAATACAACGGCTACTATTATGTAGGTGGATAGTTTTGATGCGCCGTGCCGGATGCCACCGACTGCACACCATCCTCGTTTAGCGGCTACCCGCATTAACCGCCAACGAGCCGCAGGGTTGTTTGCGCGTGCGCCGCGCCATGTTTCTCTCCGTGGTTTCAGTACGACCATGCGTGTGTTTGCCCATGGTCTGTTTACACCCACGGCCACGCACGCACGCGAATCTTCTTCCCTCCACTGCGAACGATGATTGTCCGACTCTATTCAGAAGTGTTCCCATCCGAGGGGTCCAGAGAGTTACCCCGCTCGACCATTACTATATTATGATATGCTATAGCGCTTGATACCAATGTCTAATGATTTCGGGGACCCATAGGTTAGCATGGGGCATGATATCAGGCCAGGTTGTGCAAGAACAACATATGCACGACCAATCCATCCGACTCTCTACCTACGAGCAGAAATTCTCAGGCCTCCCCTTCGGCCGCCCGTCTGGTGAACTAGTATTACACCCAAAATGTCCAAAATATTTGCAGCACACATGTCACGTGAGGACATTCCCGACCCGGGCTGCGGGTCCATGCCTTGTTTTCGTTGTTGTACGAGTTGCGCGGACTCGTGAGTGTCAAAGAATTGCGCCGACAG